CTATACATTACTATCCAGCATTACTTACTATATACTATATGTTTTTTAAGATTAGAACAAGTACGGAGTATGAGTTGTAACTAACCTAAATTAAATTCTCAAATTAAAAAAATGTGAATTACATTAACCTTTTTGAACTTAGGAAGAAATATCATCAACGCTACAAGTTTAATGTAATTATATTATACTCCAAGTTTTAACTTATATAATTTTTACCCACTTTCATCACATATTTATTAGTCATATGAATTAAAAAATAATATTTTCATATTTATCTTTATTATTTTTGTGTCTGCACTACATTTGTGTATCCCCATTTTGTTTTAGCCTTTGTAAAGAAGAAAACGGTGTAATCATGTTAATTTTATGAAATTTCTTTGTTTGGGTTTATTTTTAAAATTGCTTTATGATTTTTTTTTAATATTAAAAATAGAATTTTATTTAACAAAAATAAAACAAAAAAATAATTTTAAATTTAAAAAATTTATTTTTAATCTAAATAAAAACCATATGAAAATTATGTTTCCCTTTCCTTTTTTTCCCCAATTTTTTACCAAATTAATTTTTAATATTTTTGAAATTTTATGAGAAAACTCATTTTGAAAATCAAACCAAACATTGTGATGAAGGTAATTTAACCTATAAAGAATGACCTGTGTCTATTCACTTGCATATGTGTAAGGGTGCAATGAATCTGGGGTGCTTGCAGCATTGTTATGCTGCTTTGTGGGTTCATTTCAAGGTTTGTTTTAATAATTTGAACCGTTTATATTTTAGAATGAGTGAATAAAAGGGTTAAAGATATCCGATTAACTTGATTTTTTACAGGTATATTCTACTCGATATACTTTGAAATATGAACGGTTTGGATTATCAAAATAGACTCTGAAATGAGCCTATAGGACACCACTATAGTGTCTGTTGTGTTGGGGGCACAATAAGCACCCCAAATCTAGGTGGAATTTGGGCTGACTCAACCCGAGTAACTAGAATCCAGTCCGACCTTTTTTAGGACTTAGACAAATTGAATTTGATCTGAGCTTGGACAAAAATTCAGAAACTCAAATTAAATTTGGGTAGGCTTGGATAAAGACACAAAACAACCCGAAACTTGAATTATTATCTCTCTCACATTATATAAATTATTTGTTTTGATATTATTTATGATTTTATATTAAAAAGATGTAAATATAGTCTAATTTTAACAAATTAATTAACTTAGTTGCACACAAAAAAAATAAAAATAAAAATTCAAACTTATATATGCAATAAGGGCCTAACTCGGGCCGGGTTTAATCAAATAATCTCGGGTTCTACTTTGAGTTTAGATAGGTCTGGATAGCTCTCAGCACAACTTAAGTTAGGCTTAGACGACCTCTCAATTTACTTGAAATCACTCGAATTGCACCCCTATATATATGTATTGGTGTCCGTTATATATTACATGGGCCATTTTGTGCCCCTTTCACAAAATAGTTGAGCTAGAAATTGGGCTCAGGATGACAACAATTAAGTTGAATTCTTAGCAACCTAAAGAAGTTTGATCATTTTAGATCTATCTGAAGAGCTACTGGCCTCTCCGTTCACTTGAATCATCTTAGCCTTGGTTTGTATTACAAACTAATCACGTACTCCTTGCACCAACCAGGTTAAACTTAAATATTTGATCTCTAGGCAGTATTTAGATTATGAATTTTTATAAAAATTTAAAATAGAGAAAAAAAATATAGGTAAAATTTAAATGAATTATAACTAAATTTCATTTACATTTTATACGCTTTTTCTCTTTTTCATTTTAAATTCGTACCCAAATATCCAAATAGAGTGGGTTTTGTCAAATTTTCCATCCTCCAATATTGCTCTCTTGGAGACACCTATTTTCTTTGCCTTTGAATAGTTACCCTCTCGTGCTCTCCAAGTTGATTCAGACTACCACATTAAGGGATTGTTTGATATGATTTAAATAAGTATATTTTTTATTTTTTTATAAAAAGATATACAAAAAAATATAAAAGTGATGTGATAAAAAAAAATAAAAAGATAAAAAGATGAATTATATAGAAGATGTCAAATCATCCCTAATATTCATTTTATTGACTTTTGAAAAATAGTCTTTTCGGCTTTCCTTGGAATTGGAGCCTCCCTTTCACAATCTGTTCATAAATTTTATTTTAAAAAACAACACAGTTTTTTGCTGACTGAAACTAATAATTATGACATTTTCAATATGTTTTGCATTTTGTCTATTCTAGAATTGGGAAATTAATCTCTTTAGACAATTTCAAAATTTGTATTGTTAAGAAATGATTAAAAGTTTCATCAGCTTTTGAAATCTCAAAAGAATATTTCTTATAAAAAAATTTCATTTTAAATTATTGGTCAATAATATATTTTTTTGGCATACGTACAAGACTCTTTGCGTATATAGTTTAAATACCAAAAGAATATTTCTTATTATAAAAAAAAAAAATTAAAAAAATCTAATTACTCGCAACACAATACAGAAAAAATGCGTGTGACCACTTTGTGAAGTAGTTTCATATAATATAAATTAACATGAAAAAAATACTATACATGAACATTCAATTACTATAATTAATAGTATCTACAAAGTTAATAAAAAAGGTGAATAGTACAACAACAACAACAATATTATTAATAATATTAACAGTGGGTATCAACAATAATTTACAGAACATTTTCATGATCACTACTCAAGCTGCAAAGGTTGAAAAAGAACACATATATACTGAACATACTCTCTCTCTCTCTCTCTCTCTCTCTATATATATATATATATATGTTTGGATTGTTGGAAGAGTTATAAACGAGGGAGATTAGAATTGACAGGGAAGTGGGGAACAACAATCGGAGCAGCTTCTGCTTCAGCTTCTGTTTCTGATGTTTCAACAATTTTCCCTAATCTTCTTCTTCTACCACCTTCACCGTCGCCGCCATGTACACCTGAAGATCCATAAAAGCAGCAACAGATTCTTGCTAATATACCCATGCCTCTCTCTCTCTCTCTCTCTCTCCAACTTTATTTACAGAGACTTCCAACCAGTGTTTGACGCAAATATATAAAGACTTTTTTCACCTCTTAAAAGTCTTTTTTTTTTTTGCTTTTTTTCTTTTTATAGCAAAAATATATATCCTCAGCTTTTTGACATAGATTAAAAGCTGGACGAAAAGTTTTAATAAGTTAAGAACACAAAAATTGATAGGTAAATTACAAAAACACATCTTTAGATTTATTTAAATTATAAATTATTTTTTGTGATTTTAAAAATTATATTATGTCCGGTAAGATTTTTAATTTCATAACAAATAAGTCATTTTATTAATAAATTATTAAGTTAATTAACAGTTTTTAATAATGTTAAAATTTTATTTCAATTAATAATTCAGATAATTTTATTATTATATAGGTGAACAGTTAAAAATTTCACTTCTTCAATTAATTCTGTTAAATAAAAAATTATAATAGAAAAATATTTGTAATTTTTCAAAGCATAAGAAACAATTTATATTTTAAATAAATATCAAGCGTGTATTTGAAATTTATCCAAAATTGATCACAAATCAAACAAAATTTACGTTTATGGACAAAAATCTTTAGTGAATCTTACCAACAAATTTTATAAATCTATTTATATATATTTTACTTTCTTTTTGTATTCGTAACAGAATTAAAAGTTAAATTTATTATTATTATTATTTTGATCCATCACTTCCACATGCACAAAATGGATTATACAACACTAGAAAAAACTTAATAATATGCCAGCAGTAAAGAAATGGTAAAACTATCCTAAGCTTTTTTATCAAGAAGGGTAAATGGGTCATTTAAATGAAAGTTTTTCTCTAATTCTGATATACCCAAACACACATTTAAAGTCTACACATACAATATTATTTTTATATAGTAAAATAAATAAATTAATAATATTGATGTGACCTTTAACAATGAGTCAAATATGCCTCCCAATCATGTTGCTGACTAATATAGTCCTCTGAAGACCTTATCTCACATTTTCACCGATCTATTTATTTAAATTATTTTTTACTACTCGTTTAAAAATAAATTATTTTAATAATTTTTTAACTCTCTAATTCAAATATGAAATAAGCTCATCTCACATTTTCACTAATCAATTTATTTAAATTATTTTTTACTACTCGTTTAAAAATAAATTATTTTAATAATTTTTTAACTTTCAAATTAAAATATAAAATAAAATAAAAAAAACTAACATATTCGTAATAATTCTCACTTTTTATGAAAAAATATACAAAAAGTGAAAAAAATAAAATCTTACTTTTTTTTTGTATAATTTATTAATTTTTTTAACTTTTCTAATAATTTTTTAAAACATAATTGCCAAACGAGGTTAACTAGCAAAAGTTACACCAAACAACATTTCTCTAAAGAAAATTTAAGACCTCGTTTAGAAACAAATTAATTTAATAACTTTTTGACTATTTGACTAAAAAATAAACTATAAAAAACTAATATGTTTTAAATGACTTTTTGACTTTTTACGAAAAATTTTACAAAAAGTTAAAAAAAAAAAATCTTTAATTTTTTAATATAAATTGTTAACTTTTTGACTAAAAAAGTCACTTACCAAACAAGGCTTAAACAAGGCCTAAAAAAGAAATGTAAGTTAAACCCTATAAATAAACTAAGGGTAATTACAGCACAGTATAAATTTTTTAAAAAATTACATATTAATAAAAAAATATATATTTATAATTATTAATATTTACAAAATTTATCACTAATTTATAATTATTTTTACAAAATACCACTAATGTGATATTTCCCCAATAAACTACACCAAACAGGGACAATGAAATAAAAATAGATTTAAGGATGAGTTGATTTCCAACCAAGCCACAGATTCAATCCATTACCCTATTGAATCTCCCCAGCAACCAATTCCATTTCAATTACTTGGCAAACAAGAACTCATCCATAAACAAAAACAAAACTCTTATAAAGGAAAATAAAATATTTTAATTTTGCACCCAAAACAGCTCAAACTAACATGTTCCAGGAAAATACAATATTAAAATTTCACAATGATGTGAAATTGTTTCACAGAAATATTACAGTTAAAGACACTATCATCATCATTAAAATAAAGATTAAAAAGAAGAGGAAAAAAAAAATACAGGGAGTCAGCAAATGTTTTGGCAACTGCATTCGCCACAACAGTATAACTGCACAAATATGTTTGCCATCGCAAAGTAAATGATTGCAGATTCTCAGCTGCCTGCAATACCTTCAGGAAATGGCAAGACAAAATTGCACAGGTTTAAACTAGAAAAATACGAGGAAAAAAAACCAGAAAGCTCCATATATTTCTTCTATCATTTAGTTGTGCCACAACATTATCACTAGTTTCAATCACCTTGTAAGCAGTAAAGCTGCCGGATATTTCCTGATGCTGTCAAAACATCAAAAAAATCAATGGAAATGCAAGTTAAACCTTATCTTTTAACTAATTCTTCAAACAATAATACAGAAAAATAGATGTGCAAATAGTACAGAAGTTGTTTATTGAACAGAAGGAATTTTTTTTTTATCATTGTGTTCTTAACATGGTGTTTGGTTGAGGGATTTGGGAAGAAATTTGGAAAATATATATATATATATATATATATGTGAAATTAGGTGAAATATATGTATATTTTATTTATATTTCACCTATCTTTTCCTTTTCCCCTTCCAAATCCCTTCCCAAATCCTCCAACCAAACGCAACGTAAGAGAATTAGAAAGTTGTTATTCGAACAGGTGTGTGTTTGGATGAGAAGGCTGGGAAAGAATTTGAAGGCAAAAAGGAATTTGAAATTGACAGTTATAAAATTCTCTGTTTGGATTTACAAATAAATAATAAAAAGAAAGAGAAGATGGGGATTTAAATATCCTCTAAGAATTTTAATGAGGGATTTCAAGGGTAGGGTAGTTGACCTCTCCAAACCAAAGCATGTCTTGTACTGATTGGAAATTCAATTTACTAATAATTTTCTTTCACTCAGGTCAGGGTATCTAGATACCCGTCTCCAGTATACCCAGCAGACATTCTGTATAAAATGCAAAAAATGATTAAGAGTATTGATGATTACCATATAACCATTCCTTGAAGTATACATGCAGTGCGCTTGATAATTCACGCTTCCGGCTGTCTTCCAGTTGCGTTTCCTTCAAAATTTGCTTGATCTCCCCTAAGTTATTGTGCTGAGACAAAACAATTATGTTTAATAAAAAAAAAATTCAATGTAATTAAGACTGATTTAGAATTGTATAAAGTCACTTCCAATAGGTATAAAATGAAAACTATTCCCTTTTTCTTGAATAAGTAGGTAAATATGTAAATCCATTATTAGAAACAGAAATCAGATGGCCATGCAAATGATCAGCATGCCTCAGTGCACGTACATTTCTATGCTGAGACGACATATACACATCTGGTAATGGAAATGGATTGCCTTTTGTAGACCCAGAGGATTCACCTTCAAACCAGTTAGGTATCTGAGCACAAAGAACAAGATCACAAAATTTAACAAGAAATATTAGCATATAGATTGAGATCAAACCCCAAAAGGAGCAACACTGTAAAATATTAGGTAGAGATCATGGTTCATGCACTGTTCAGATTCAAACAATAAAAATGCATTTAAGCTAAAGATATGCCAAATATGGAAAGTAACAAGAGTGGATGAATAGGAAAAACAAACAGACAGTAGCCAATACAACATCAATCTATAAAACAACACTTGCAAATTTGGTCTACCAAAATAAAAAAACATACCAAAAAATTTGTGAACTGATCAGAATCTAGGCGGGTAGCAGACTCAGCTTGTACATCAGACACACCTGCAGGATGAGATAATGAATCGTGTGGATCAACTACTCCTAGTGCCACAGGGTCATCCCATCTATTAATAGTTGCCTCAATACCAACTTGGTCCATGTGCGCCTCCAATTGTGAGTAAAATGTGTTATATGGTGCCACCTAATGGAAATTTGTTTGAGAAAGAAAAAACGTATTAAAAGCCAATATTTAACAGTGCTTGAAAATAAAGCAGTAGAAAAATTTATGACCAAAACAAATTGACAGCATCAAAAGACACAGCTTATGCACCAATGAGACCATTAGAGGCGAAGAAAATTACTTCAATGTTGTTTTTGGGTCTTGGATTGTGAAAGGATTTGTGGATGGAAAAGATAAGAAGGAATTTGTGAAAATAAATTAGCTTCTATTTCATTCACTTTTCCCTTCACAAATCCATTCCCAAATCCAAGATCCAAACACAGCTTTAGAATTCAAAACTAGAGAGTAAATTATTAAGACCATCAGAACTGAATATCAGTTCAGTAGCCTATATAGAGCCAATGTCAAATTCATTCCAGTGGGGCAAAATATAAAATTAATTTTAGTCTAGGAATGCACCTCCAAGTGGCATGTAACCACTCAATCTCTATAATCAGAATAATTGGATGAATATGCAAAACACACGAAAACAGAGCTAAAAGAATTTGGATGTCCACAAAAAATTACAAGTCCATTCTCTTGCGAAAGGTCAGAAACTAGATTGAAATATACATGTGATCATATTTCTATCCAACACAGCTACTATTCAAAGTAAATTTTGAGAAAAACATATTTGTTCTCATCGCATAGAAAACAGTGTACATATTCCAGGTTCTATGCAAAATGGAGTACTCTCAATCAAGTACATGGGGCAATAAAACAACCATTGAAGTCAATTAAGCTTTACAAACTCATCCGAATGTACAAAAATATAGACAACTACACAGTACCCAATCAATTAAATCAAAAACTTAACATAGCAATTGTTGGCACAGTATCCATCGAGAGAGGAAAAAATTAAAAAAAAAAAAAGGATTTTAAATAACTTTTTTGCACAATTGACAAAATTCACAAGCTATGATTAGAAGAAAGAGGAATGAAAACTTCTAAAACATGTCACACACCTGCAGCTTATGGTTGTCACCAACAATAAGAGGCCGTTGATTTACACCTAAGAAGAATACACACTCACGACAATTTGCAATACAGATTCGTTTTGCTGCTACAATGACATGAACCCGCTCACAATGTTCAACTCTTACAGCCTGTAGAGAGGGAAAAAAACATATATAGAATACACATTCAGAGCATTTCTATTAAAGAGATGACAGCATCCGTAATGTCACATTCAGAATAAATTAATGGGCAATTAGAACAAGGTTAATCATATGACATGACAAAATGCAACGGATATCATGCCCATAATAAAATAAAGGCTAAGGTTTATTATCAGTTTCTTTATGGATATAAAAAAACTACCAAACAGATATAAATCAAAATTACAATATAACAGAAACAAATAACATGGACCAAATAAAACAATTTGAATATACCATTTATATCTTATTGTTGCTAAAGAGTATTATTCAATCAGCCAATGGGAGCCCAGAAGACAACGCAAGTAAAAAATGCAAGGTGTCAAAACAAAATAAGAACAAATAAGGATGAAGTTGAAAGTTTGAAATGCTAAATTCATGAGAAGGCGTCCAGATGAACAGATGAATTTCAGTATCTCAACTCACAGTAATCTCATATTCCACATTTCATTGCACAAGGACCAAATTATAGGACATTTAATAATTACACAACTAATGATGTCCTTTAAATAGTCATGCTAATCTTTATCAGAGATGCAACACTGGAAGGAAACTTTCAGACTCCAATAAAATTTAATTTAGATTTTTTTCTTGATAACACTAGTCACCATGAAGCATATAACAAGCACAAAAAAGGAAGTTAGGAGCAACAGTATCATGTCAACATTTCCATGCCCTACACTACACCATTGATTGTAAGTCATTACCAAATACTATCAAGTACATTGACAGGCATACAGATCAACACAAAGGTCACAATACATGAGACGTATATATGCATATATATAACACAATCACACAGACAGATTAACACAAGGGTCACAATGCACAAGACGTATATATGCATATATAGTAACACAATCATGAGACCAAGAAATAGAATCATACAATCAAAGGTTTTAGTATCCTCTTTACAATCCTTGTACACTTCAGAATGCTGGTCAAAGTTTCAGTAATTCTAACCCTTAATTTGACTCCACTATGCTTAATAGGGAAAAACTAGCCACTGAAGCTCCTGCAGATAAGAACAGTTTGCCAAGACTCTAAAACCCTTACTATTACAGGAGGATGCTCCTTCAGTATCAATTCTTATGGGGAGCCAATGACCGAATTCCACGGACTATAGAATATTGAAACTCTTTCTTTCCCAACAACGTATCCTCACGAGTCATCATGTTACCAAGCATTCCATTTAATTTACTGTGGAGAAGTTCCAAAATGGTTGTTGTAATTTATAGGAACAGAAATAATGCACCCACAAGGAGAACTAGCTTCAAAAAAACAATACAGTAGCACAATAAAATTTTCAGACATTTATAGCATTTGACTGAAATGAGGTACCAAAAAACTGAGAGCCTTTCGGTAACTCTATTAAACAAATGGCATATTTATACGTTCTTGCAAAAGGGAGTGACTTAAGTTAATAGGCATGTCATTGGCATAGATGGAACAAATATTAGGCTCAGACTTTGAAATATACTAAATTAGAATATTATTAATTTATTATCATAACCCCAGTCTCAAATTTTAAAGAGATATACAAAAATCCAGCAATTCCAGTTGCTAGTTGTAGAGGGAATATTATCACTTTCTAATAAGCAGTGATGCTATTCAAAACAACTGTTGATCTAAGGAGTTCAGGAAAATATTGTAACAATCAAAAAAAGAGAGCATAATCTTCCTGCAACTTCGTAACTACCTTCCCAACAGCTCCAAGAACTATAGTCGTGTCAGAGCATCCATAGATGGTGGCATATCTCAAAGGTGCTAAAATGTAAATGACAGATTCATGACAATTTATGACCTGCAAAAATTACAACATTGTTAGAAGCCAGGCCAGAGCTAAAGCAACTTCAAACAATGAAGAAAACATAATTTCAAATTGCACACGAATGCACAATGCATGAGAGATGGCACACTAGAGAAAAGATTTAACACTGAAACTGCAGGTAGGAAGGTTTGGGTCTTGTTAGCTAGACAAGGCAACATCAGTAACAAGCTCAAAGGTTGAACTTGGCTCAGGCCGTTAAGAATTTATTGACTTAAGGCCAGACTGGGCTCTGGTTTGGCTTAGTTTAGTCATAGGCAGCATAGGGCTAATTCAAGCCACAAGCTCTTGCCTTGAAGACTTAACATGGGTCAAAGCGCAACTCTAGAGTACATGACTTTTATCTATATGAGAAGATTAATATGAAGCCATGAATTAGTTTATCAGGCTTGCACTACAATATTCCATACCTATTAATAAGCTAATGAGCTTGCATTGAAGCCCGAGCTCTGATCATGATTCTTACAGTTGAACTTACTATCGGTTAATCAACAATTGAGTGCCTCCATTTTGCAATTAGTCAATAAACAAGACACGTAAAATGCCTAAACTAGCGTTTTTTCAAGTATACATGCCTATATATTGTTGTCAAATCAGGATACAAATTGTGTATCATTTTTTAATTTTTCTGAATCATGTATCGTATTGTAAGATACTTTAATACCTTTAGAAATAGGTAGAAAAATAAATATAGTTATAAAAAAGAAATATATTATGAGAATAAAACACTAGACAATGTATAATTCTATCAATTGCAAAAGCAAAGTTCCTTAAATTAAATATGTATGCAACAATACATATTATCTTCACAAGGCATATACATTAATAACTCAAGATTCTTAAACCATACAATAGATATGTAAAAAAGGTTGAGAAATAAACTAAAAAGTACCATTCTCATCTCAAAAATAGCTTTTTTAAAATAATTTTATGAAAATTTTGGACAATATTAACTTACATGAAATAATTTGAATTTTTTTTTCAAATTTGCTATAGAAATTTAAATATTTATGTAACATTTGAATCGCATTATGTATCGCGTATCGTATATCGTATCGCATATCATATATGTATTGTAAAATACATTTAATTTAAGATACGTATTGATGATAGTATCGATTTCTTTCTGAAAGGTTTCAAATTGTAAGATACATATCGTGAATCGTAAGATACTGACAACACTTAGTAATATACATTTAGCCAAGCAATATTTTTCCATATTCTTTTAAAATCATGTTAAAGAATTTTTTTTTGTCTCCAGGTTAAGAACACACATATAACATCACAATAAAACATTTTCAGGATAGGACATAAAACATAAAGCCAGTTATGCAAAATACACCATAATATACTTGGGTTCCTAATCAGCTTCAATCTCCATAGACCAAGCTTGATTACATAGTGATAGATTTCAGAAGTTTAATTCTAATGCAAATTTTGCAGTATTGAATTGAAAGTTTGAAACCACTAAAAAAGCAAACAGGTCTTCATTGTGCCACATTGGAGGTACAGATTCCCATCCCCCATCCATTGACAGCCTAATTTGAAAAGGAACATACTCCTTGCTGACTAGAGAACTAAAAGAATAGAAAATCATGTTATACTAATGATGATATCACAACAGCTAAACACAAGATAACACATAACTCTTAGAGGTTTAAACTGGAAAAAGAAACGTTAAACCATATGAATAAACTGACCTTCACAGAAGATCCTTTCAGATCGGAAGCTTGCTTCACATATGATGATTTAGAGATCCCCTCAATAAAACTAGGACCCCTAGCACTGGTTAAGGCCTTGATTGAGCTTACACAGGCATCAGCCATTGCAACGTCCTGATCAGAGGCACTGGATGACCCATTTTCTTTCGCAGAAACTCTTTCAGAAATATGTTCCAAGGCAGAGGAAATTTTCTGTAGAAGCCAATCATGAACTAGTGTCGCAGAAACAGGAGCAGCAGGCATGTCAGGATCTGAATTAGCAAAAAATGGAGCAGCCTGGCTCAAGGGAATTCTTTCTGATCCTTTTTCACCAAAATAAATTAGAAATTCAAGGTGCTCAAACTTCTCCATTGCTAAAACCTGGTGATGGGAATAAACCAGCATTTAGAGCAAGCCAGAGAAAGTACTATAAGACAACTTTGTCTACGCACATATTCAAAATTATATGTACATCGTTGATACATGAGGACAAAAATCAAAAGCCTAAGCCTGGCCTTGCATTACAAATGTCATTGCAGCACTTTTCCAAGATGTCATACCAGCAATTTTATTAATGTGCCATTTAACAAAGGCTTATTAAGAACACCTATAATCCTGCAAGTTGTGGTCGTATCTTCTTTTGGTGAGTAAGGTTTCAGTTGTATCTTGCAAATATAATTTGATCAATGAATAGACACTTTTTTTAGATGTAAAATTTATAATATTGATATTGCAGTAAAGGCTGGGGGAAGAGAACACTAGTTGAGATAATAAGGACAACTATTGGTGTGTGGTTTTTAACACAGGTTATGGCTTACAATAGAACATAACGACAAAACAAGAGCCATATGGCCCACACCGAAAAGTTGATTTGAATTAATAGACATTCACAACACAAGGCATTTGCTTTAGAAGAGCATCCACTAAAGGAGCCAAAAAGGGCCGCAACACATACACACACAAAATAGAAAAGAGCAAACCAAAACTATGCTTCCTCTAGAAAATTCAAAATCAGGATTGGAACTGTTTGATATCATTTCTGGAAATTGTGTTGTGTAATCAAGAGAGAGAGAGAGATGCAAAATACGTTGAGTAGTGCCTTACAAAAACTGATTTCCCACCCCAATCTGACCAACTTGAACCTGTCTTCTTGTGTATATATCTATAACATTGGGATTGGATTGGAGGTGGACATCCAATGTAGTCCCACAGGACTGGGTTGAGCTTTGATCTTACCCAACTAGTCTAAATTGCAGATCTAGCAGACAAAACAAGCTGAAGAGAAAATATGAGAATCGAGTTGAAGGAAAATGCTAATTGAGTAGTGCCTTACAAAAACTGATTTCCCACCCCAATCTGACCAACTTGAACCTGTCTTCTCGTGTATATTATCTATAACATTGGGATTGGATTGGAGGTGGACATCCAATGTAGTCCCACAGGACTGGGTTGAGCTTTGATCTTACCCAACTAGTCTAAATTGCAGATCTAGCAGACAAAACAAGCTGAAGAGAAAATATGAGAATCGAGTTTAAGGAAAATGCTAAAGGATAACATCATTCTGGAAGTGTTTCTCTACCATCAACTGATCACCTAGGCAGGATGATTAAACAACATACTCAAAAAAAGTGAAATGACAAGACGGAGCCTAGTCTTGTCAAATATTCATTAGATATAAAGACATATCCAAAGCTAATGCAGTGACAGAACAATGCATGAGTAGATATAGTGGACCTTCATATCATGGTGCATACAAAATTGAATGACCTACCCGTTTCAAATTATGTAACATTTTAAGCCTCTACCTATCTCTTAACTTTTTAACATATCAAGAAAATAAGGCAAGACTCGGAGAGAATTTTAATTCCCATCCAAAATTAGCAAATTTCTATTTTTCATTAGTTAAAAGAGATGGAGATGAATTCTCTCTAACTCATTTCTTATCGGACCTTGAAAAAAATAATAAACATAGCAAGTTCTATGCACAAGTTTTCTTAGTGCTTTCTAATTCACAAAAAATAGAAGCCTTTCTTTTCTTGAGTTGAAATTTCTTATGGTTATGATAAATTTCTCCCCAAACCTTATTCTAATGTGCCACATAATATTAAACCACTATAATCACCAATACCAGGCTAATTTAGGACAAAATAGCATCGCAACAACGATTAAGCAGTAAGTACAAGAGTTAAAACCATCATAAATGTATTTATAGTGAACAATTTTTGTCTTTTGCTTTTTGTGTCTAAATCATAAAAGCCAAAGAATATCATCTTTCAGGTAGTAAAACTGCAAAGCATTAGAAAATGCAAGAGACGATTGCAATCAAGGGCAAGGATAATGAGACTGGTATTATCCCACCCCCAACAGGGCAGAAAATCCAGGAAATTCATTATTAATAAAAATATCAATGACCTAAATACCCCAACCAACAAATAAGTATGCCAATAGTACACAAGAATTTAACATACCAGAGATTCTTCGCTTTCTTCCACAGAATCTGCTAAAAGAGACAGGATGTTGGCCAGGTGCTTCTGTAAATAGGATAGCTGATGAGCCTCCTCATCAGCTTGTGACGGCATAAAGCGACGGCTATTGCTACGCACAAGCTGCGATGGATGGAACAACAAATTTATTAATAGCGTGCAAAATATCAAAACCAGAAATTATATAAAATTATTACCAAATACAAAAGTTCATAAATAATGTTCTTGCAGTTTACAACACATGCCTTAAAGCAAATTATATACGACCATCAACTTTGCTCAAATAAAACATGGTGATTGAAGAAAAATCCAGCCAAAAGATAAGGACACAACATTATTCCAATTGATTGGAGTTAACCAAACTAATTTTACAGCCTTCATTTCTGTGTTATAGCGTACATGAACTGAAAAAATAAAATAGAATAAATCTTGAAATCAATATTGGACACTCAAGGGAAGAAATGCACAGTATACGAAATCAAACACGCAGCATAGTATCCATATTAAATAATAAATACCAATACTTGTAGATACTCATGAGATACTTCTTAAACATATCCAATACTTGAAATTAATTCACTTTAATTTTGAGAAGTGTCAAATACTTTTAGAATATTTCAAGTCACGTATCCGAATTATTATGAAATTAAAATTGTAATAATTCTTTCATAACAATGGGGTGTTGTAGTTAGGATTACTACAAGAACAATCATAGTTTTTCAATATTTTGTTTAGTTCCTAGAAAAGACAAGAAAAATGGTAAGATTAAACCTACTTTATCAAAATTTATCAAATTGACATATACTGAATATGTAATACATGTGTCTATATATGCTTAAACATAAAAATAAATCAAAAAATATAATGATACTAAAATCAATTTTCAACAATTAAATAAGCAAAGAAATTCGCATACAACACTTTTGCCTATAACACATGTAAGTGTGCAAAAGGGAAAATCATAAGGCCAATATAAATGGTTTAAGACTTGATACTGATTTTAGTATCAGTATATAGAAGACCCATATAGGATTTATTGTATCACCATATCCTTATTATATCCATGCTACATAGCTTGTAAACCATTTCAAAATACATCAATCACGTAGAAAATGCCACACTAATGCATATAATGAACAACCAAAAAATGGAAACTAGTCAAATAAAGCTAATCATATTTTCACAAACCCATTTTGATACACATCCATTCCTTCCAATCTAATGCCCCATTGCATACGGTTAACAAAAAAAAAATTCAACAAACTTTGTAGAAACAATCCACGGTCGACAGTAAAAATTAACTTACTAACATTTATTTAAAAATGGTAAATTACATTGATCTCCCTAAGGTTTGAAAAAAAATAAAATACAATAAACCCCACAAATTTAGCATAATTATATTGGACTCCCTTAAGGTTATGATTCATATAACATTTAATTCCCCTTTCATTATAATTTTGTGAGTCATATGAATGAAACAAATGATGTTCTTATCTCTTTCACACTGAAATATATATTTTACCTTATTTAGTTTTGTGTATTCACACCATTAGCATTAGTTTCGGTTCCATAAGCCACAATAAAATTAAAATGAAGGTCAATATAATTATACCAAAACTATGGCTCTTGTTGTATTTTCTCCAAATTTCAGAAGAGGTTAGTGTAATTGACCCTATAAAGGTATTTACCCATAAAGAATTGTATCACTGTATCCGTATATACATGCTTCCTAGCTTGTAAATCATTACAGAATACACCAATCACGTTGAAAATGCCACACTAATGCCAATAATGAACAACCAAAAAAGGAAAAGAAAAAAAAAAGTCAAATAAACCTAGTCATATTTTCACAACCCATTTTGATACGCATCCATTCCTTCCAATCTAACACCCCATTCCCATCTTCAGAAACAATCTAGTGTCAATAGTAAAAATTAAGTTCCTAAAAATTATTTAAAAAATTTATGAAGGTATCTGCCCATATATAATTTGTTGTATCACTGTGTACATATATCCATGCTTCATAGATTGTAAACCAATTCAAAATACATCAATCACCTCGAAAATGCCACTCTAATGCAGATAATGAACAACCAAAAAAATGGAAATTTTCACAAACCCATTTGTGATTCGAATCCATTCCCTCCAATCTATGAAGCACAGGTGCGGGTATAGGTACGGGTATGGGTACTAGTAGATACATGTATGTTGATACGGTAAAATTAAAAAAAAAATGGGATACCGGGTCCGCTTGAAAAAAATATTTATTTTAAATTTATAGTAATGTAAAAATTAATTAAATGATTTAACTTGTTAAAGGCCCACCTATAATTAATATTTAATGTCAAAAGTAAAAGTATAAATCAAAATTAAATTTCAATATATTAAATAACTTACAAACTAGAGTTTAATTTTAATATCATGCTAAGGATAAAACCAAAAAATAAAAAAGAAATCTAGTGAAAGGAGTTTTATCTCTAGTAAAAGAAAATATTGTTTCAATTGAAGTGTGATATGGCTTGGTATGTACTACGTAGGTAAGTCTGGTTGAGCCAAAAATTAAGAAGAAAAATTTTGGGTACGTGTATGGTATGTTTTTCAAAGTCCCATGCTTCATAGCTTCTAATCTAACGCCCCATTGCATACAATTAACAAAAACATTGAACAAACCCATTTTCAGACACAATTAACCACAAAATTCAACAGCATTGCTTAATAAAACGAAAATTATCCACCTGCAATGGCGAAAGAGCCGATAAATAGCCATCGAAAGCCGAAGTTGAGGGCCACACATCAGCCACCGCGGCCGAATCCTTATGCGTCCTCGGAAGCAACCGCTTATACGACTGAACATACAAAAACAAAACCAGATCATTCACATCAACCCCAATTTCCTCGATCTCAGACGGCTTTGCAGCGACAATTGGGTCCGAATCGGAGTGAAGAACGGTGGCGATTGTGTCGAGGACGAGTCGAGCGTGGTCAAGCGAGATCTGGAGGATATCGGAGATGGCGATTGAGTCGACTCGGTGGTTCGGGGACTGAGTGGATCGCTCGACGAGCTTGTCTCTGAGAGGACCTAGGGTTTGGGTACCATCGGAGAAGATGAGCTTGGGGATGGGGATGAGACCATGTTCGAATGGCTCTCTTCGAGGGTGTATATACGCCGTCGTATTGGTCGATGAGGTTGAAGGTGTTGAAGGTTCGACGGAGTCGGACATAGCGATAGATGTAGAGAGAGAAAGTGGAAGATTTTAGAGAGAGAGAGAGAGAGAGAGATGGGTGGGGAAGAAAAAGGTGAAGGCTTGGAAGTAACAGATCTTTGAGAAATGAAATGAAATAGAGCGAGAGAGGGTGTGGGGTGGTGTGAGGTAATGATTAGATGTGGTGGGGCTCAGGGACGGTTGAAACGTGGAAAGATATGATTGGTGCAGAGTTTGATCAAATGTGTTGTAGGGCCAATGGAGGTTGACTTGTGGTCAACGGGTCGTGTGATTGTAGTGTACATAATTAAACATTTTTCACTTATGATTGGTTGTGATATTAAAATTAATGTGTCATTAATTGTATTATTGATAATCAAGCTGGTCAGACAATGACGATGGTAGTGTGTCAAAAAAAAAAAAAATTTAACATTTTAATAAATGAAAAATATTTTTTATTTAAATTATTATTTTTGCTAATTATGAATAATATTTTATATTGACTTTTGCTTTCTAGCGTATTAATACTAGAAAGTAATAAACTTTTTGCATAAATTTTTTTTTTTTATTGAAACAAAACAATGCATTATAATATATTCCTTTCATTACAAGAAAAAAAAAGCAAACGGTGACGGTTTTTTTTTATGACGTTTTTCAAAAATATTGTGAAATTTGTACAGATTTTTTTAAATTCTAAAAAAATTAAACTAAATTATCTCGTTTTGTGCGCTAGTTATTTCTTTTAAACAGTGGCTCAAGGCTATGATGTTCTTCTATTCTGATTGAACAGATGCGTGACTTTAGGAAGAGAAAGAAATTGAGACGTTGGATCTTCGAGACATCAAACCTTTAATCTCCATCAATTCTTCGGTTGTTTGATCTGAAAAATCTTGTTATACTCTTGATTTGAGTGTATCTCTTCCTGGTTGTTTGGATCCCTATGATCTAAATCGATCTAGGGCTCAAGGTTAGGGTTTTCTAGAGCGTATATCTTCCAGATTGTTTGAATCCTCATTATCTAAATCGATCTAGGGCTCAAGGTTAGGGTTTTCTGATATGGATTTGCTATATTCACACATGATCTATAAAATTTCATGGCTAAAACGAATGATTTGGAATTGTTTTCTCTCGATTTAGTTGATTTCTAGCTTTTTTTTGCTTTTGCTTTGTGTTTTGTGTTTTCTCTTTTCGTTTTTGTTCCTTTACTCTTTCTAGTCCTTGTATGGAAAACTCTTCTCTTTCATCAGATTGAGCAGCAGAAATGGCGAATCGATTTATCTAGTGTTTCGAGTGCGGTGTTAGTGTCTTTGATCATGTATAGGAAAAGCAATTGGCATTGGATGTGGATCGTTGGAAACAGTGACTAGGAGCTCAACGATGAAGAGATATAGATCATAGTTATTCTTGTGGTTGATTTTCACTGAACTTCGTTCTGATTTCTAACAAGTAATCTTTGCTCAAAATCATGATTCCCTTCAGCTTCGTTTTGCGGGTGATCTTCTAATGGAGTTGGGTGCTGGGGTAGAGTTGGCAACTACAGCTGTGCCACACCTTTTTCTGCCTTTAGCTTGTGCTACCAATGTGGCCAAGGTTCAACCCTTGTTCATCTCGGATTCCGGTATCTCCGCAGATAACCTCGGCCTAGCCGAGATCACCTCAGCGCCATGACTAGGGCACGTGGCACCTCGGCTAACACTTCGGTGCCAACTTGGCCACGTGTCGTTATTCAAAAAATGTCCCCACAAGTATTATCATCATTTTACTACCACTATCATCGCTGCCACCGCCACCACCACCACCACCTCACAATATAAAAATTAATCTACTCATCAATAAAGGTAAATAGAGATAGATAGTTTAGAGGGACTTGAGTATTCTAGAGCCAACAAGGGGAAGAGAGGAAGAACTAGGGTTCAAAAAGAGGAAAAGGGGAATTGAGCAAAGGTAAGAAATTCTCCCTAAATCTTACGAAATAAGGTGGCCTCTATCATGAAATAAGTTAAATAAAAAAGTGGAGTTGTGTTAATGGTTATTAAAAACCTTAAAGATGAAAATTGTAGGAAATAGCTTTTAATTGGAGCTCATGTGACATCATTTTAGTTGTTCCATGTAGGATTATGCATGACTCCACAAAATTTAAAGAGAAATTGTATTGATTTTAGCTTTGGAAACCACACTTTCTATTGAGAATGATTTTACACTCAAAGTTCATGTTTTTGTGATCTAATTTGGGTATTGAGCCTTGTTTTAATACTCTGAAGTTGCAAGTATTCAATTCATGTGAATTTGAAGTGATTTTGAGCCTTCTTTTATGTAAATGAGATTGGGTTTTGAAAATGGGTAAAACTCCATATGTAGTAGAAATTGGAACTGAATTTTCATCCAGACCGCTCGAGCGGCCTAGGCCACCACTTGAGCGGCCAAGCTTGATTTGGCCCAATTTGCACACTAAAGTTCGTCCACACATGTGGCCTAGACCACCGCATGAGCGGCCAGACCACCGCACGTGTGGCTAACCGAGCCAACCCAAATTGATTTTTCTCCTGATTTTTCTGACTTCCAGGCCTCCAATTGCATGGTTTTCAATTGTTTTTCATGTGCATGTGCATGGGATGAATTTGAAACGAAACGAAGAATAAAAAGGATCGGGTTAAATGATTAGTAACAAGTAAGTAATGGAGAAGTTAGTGACTAATTGAATATTGAACCATTATGCTTTCATGTGCCTACGTAGGTCAAATGCCACATCCAAGTCAAGTGTTACACGGGACTAACGATGAGTGACAATGTAGTAAAACTATGCTTGAATTATAATTCTTTTCGATTGTTATTGACATCATTAAAGTCTGTTTTATAGTAATATGTTGACTGAATACGTGAACCCACTCCATATGATACGCTCACGTGGCCCGTACTTGGGGGTAATAATATCGTGGCGTAACTCCATGTGGTCTTCACCCGGGGGTAATAATGTAATGGTCTATGTTTACGTGGCCGTTGCCCGGGGGTAAGAATACCGCGACCTATGTTCACATGGCCCTTGCCTGGGGATAACAGTACCATGGCCAGATGCGTATGAGGTTATATGAACTTGATTTGAAGAACTGGTATATGAACTGGTGGTTCTACAAGATTGCTTATTTAATATACATGTTACTGCTATATGACTTTATTTTACTGTTCAAATGGTTATTATTTCTAACCTTTTATTTTACACATTGTTATTCACTGGGCTCTAGCTCATGGTTCATATCTGTCATGTAGGTGATCCAGCTCAAGAGAGAGGTCAAGGGTGTCAACCTACTTTCTAGTTTGTCAAGCCAACCGTAGTGCCTCTCTTCGGGGTTCCTTTTGGGTTTAACTCTAAGGCTTTTTGGTGAATATGAATTTACCATTTTGTAAAGTGATTAAGTGACTTGTAGCAAAGTGTTTTTGGTTTTATACTTATTTGGGTATTATGTTTGCTTTTGGTACATGTATATGATGTGATAAGAGATTGGATGATTGTACAGTAATGTATATAAGGTGTATTCATTCATTTTAGTTCACAGCTTATTGGATGATGATTTGTGATTTTATTGGCTTCTGCCAGCCCCTTAATATTTATTATTCAGCAGGCCTTTGGTAATTGTGGATTACTGGCCAGTTACGTCTCTAATCCCGTGGGGCGGGGGTTGGGTCGTGACATGGATCGTTGGAAATAGTGAGTAGAAGCTCAACGATGAAGAGATGCAAATCTGCTCTTTCTTCGGTCAGATCTGTTCTCTCTTTCTGATCTGCTAACATGGCAATATTATATCTTATTTGTCTCTCTCTAGTCCATTAGTTTGTCTTTTTTTGGAATCTCATTTTGGCATTTCTTGCTTTCTAACTCTCCTAATAATCATTTCGGTGTAGTTTCCATGTAAATTGATAAACTTGCATCTTGGTATGTTCTCTGAGTTTGCTTTTTTTTCAAGCTGTTACACATGGGTGGCCCTGTTATTAACTACTTGTGTAGAGAACCAAGAAATGAAAGGCATTTTCTTGATTCATATCTTTAACTATTTTCTCCCTCTAGATATTGATAATATAATAAATTTGTTTGGTTGGGATGGATGCAAGAATTGGGATGTAGGCATATTGGCTCTACAAGATTTGATTTATTTTCTATTTCCCTTTGTTTCCATTTCTCTTAGATGGAGACAATATCTTTTGCTCAATTAAATTCAAATTCAAATATGTCATTGGGTTTCCTTTTTGTTTGATTCAAATTCAAATATACATAACAATATGTCATTGGGTTTTCTTTTATTTGTCAATTTTAAAAGGATTCTGTTGCAATTCTTCTTGATTGAAGAAATTAGTTAGTTCACTCCGTCCTAGTTTGGCACAAACCCGCTTAGATGTGCTGCATCACTGGTACTGACACTGTGTTTTTTTCAATTTCTTTGATTGTAATAGAACTTGATTCAATAATAGTATTCATTTGCCTTTATTAATTATAACATGACTTCCCTTCTTCTATTTTTTTCTTTTCTTTTATTTTTAGGGGCTTTGGCTTGTGGCATTTTTTATGTTAGTAGGTTGTTCAGAGCATATATTTTATTGCCTTCAAATTTGTACATAAGTCTTAAAGTTGTAAGGGGTTTATATAGCTGTAGTATTTTATTTTTTAAGGGCTAAGGCATTATTGACAAGCAAGAGAATGAAAATGGGTTCGGCAAATGCCTCTAGTGATTTGTCATCAGAGATGGAGGTAGATGCTTTTAGACGCCTCTTTCCTCTATGCTTTTATGAGCGTCCTCTACTTGAGTCCATGCGCCCTAATGTCGAGGCACTTGGAAAAGCTAGAGATACAACACTTGCTCTTGGTTAGTTTAGTTGTGTTCTATTTATTTTAAAATTGCACTTAATTTGGGGTTAGCTAAGTTCATGTTTTCGCTTGAATTGAACCTTTTGCAATCTAGGAGCTGTTGCATCTGCTGATGGGTCAGCCTTTGCTAAGATAGGTTGCACAGTAAGTGCTTTCTGCTCATTGTTTGTTTTCTCTCTTTCTCTCTTTGTCACACATACACACACACACACGCACACACACACACTTGTTCGTATGCACAAT